TGAAGTCTGGCTGCTGTGATTCACCAAGATTCAGCTACTTGGTCTGAGAGTAGGTGACAGTCTGTTTACATGTCAGTTAGCTTACAGTTTACTATATACAGAGAAACCTTTAGGGTGAATTTAAACTATGTAAGGAGAAGGCTTTAGGCTAAAGGTGATTTCATACCGAGATTGGCAGGGGCTCCGCTCCCCTCACCAGTCTTCAGGCTGATGGCTTGTGTCCCATCCACTTCCTCTCCCATCCTGCTCTAGAGCCTTTCCAGACCATGATCTCTTCCCTTAAATCTCTCACCCAACTGCCTATTTTATACCCAGAACATAATCTTACTTCATATCACACAGAGACCAGAGGTGAAAACTGCACCCCCACCTCCACCCTGTACATTGCCCTCCACCAGCTCCTGTTCTTTCCTTTTTCCCTCTGGGTCCCTTTCTCACCCCAAATATTGAAAATAAACCTATTCCCCCCATTAGCCCCCATTCCTTTCCAGGGTCTGCCTCCCCGTGACAAACAGGCATGAAGGGACAGAAGGAAAAGTGTTCAGTGTTCGAGGACTGCCCAGTTCCCAGCCTGGCAAAAGCCAGCCTCCGTGAGGTCCATTTACACCCCAGCAGTTTTACTTTGTAGAGCTCCATCTAAGTAATACCCTGTGGCAGGGCTCATTTCTGTATTTGTCAGGATTCTTTTCTGTTGGAAACAGAATGAAAATGAGCATGGGGAAAGAGAGACGTTATCAGCTCAGGTGTTAAATCTGGAAGTGGACCAGCTTCTAGAATGAGGGGCTCAGTCTAGGACAGGCATTATGAGAGTGTTCACTGTGCAGAAACCAGAAGACAGACTCCGCCCCCATCCGTGGATCCATTTCTGCATAATCTCTTGCTTCTAAAATACAATAAGAGAAATTCTCCATGCCAAAAGATGCAGCAGAGGGTCTTTTTACATCAACAGAAATGCTGTAGGGTGAACCCCCTACATCAGGTAACGGTGGCAGTGAGACAGAGATCCTAGAGAACCAGGCAAAGAATTGACTTGGAAAAGGAAGCCACCAATAGAACAGAGAGAACAAACGCTGTACATGCTGCGAGCCACAGCTACTGGGTAAGGTGTCACAGGAGTGCACTGGAATGCACCGAGGCTGACAAGCCGGGGACCAGGAAGACTGCTGGTAAATAATCTTTCTTGTTTTCTGTAAGGAACTTGGAAAGATTATCCAGAGAGGTGTGAAAACAGCAGAGAAAACACTGGAACAAAGAAATGAAGTGAAAGCAAACATGTTCAGGATTCGTCACTGAGAAACCTAAGAAACCAAAACCAAGTTTTGTCCCAGAGTAAAGGGAGACTCGGGCATCCCCTTGGAGGTCTGGAAGCTTCTTGTCTGTCAGGTGGATTCAAGGGTATTTGATCAAGGATCATGTGTTTATGAAGTAGGAGAGGCCACAAACAAACCTCTCAAACACAAAACAGGGAAGGAAGTGGTGATTTATCCTGCTGGGAGCTGCAGCAGGTGAAAATACCTTAACAAATGAGCTCCTCAACAAAGAAAATCCTTGCCCTTTTAAAGTCTTACAGTTCTAGAAATTAATGTGAAGGGGTCTTGATCCATGAAGTATGTGTGGGGTTTGTGAATAGGTTGGGGTTTGATGGTGTTTAAGCAAAAGCAATGCCTTCTGGAAAGATTCCTCCATACCATGCCTGTGATCTACAGGAGTGGGATTAAGGGTGGTGCCCGGTCTGCCAGCCTTTACTTCTCCTACTGAAATGCAATGTGGAAGTCTAGGGGGAAGGGCTCTTAGAAGCTTAAGAGGATTAAGGGTCTTCCTCGTTTACAGCTTAGAGCAACTGTGCACAGAACCAGAAACCACCTGCCTCCCACACTTTCAATGGGTTGTCCCAGAGACCGCTCCCTTATGTGAAGCTGATGCTTGCCTTGTGTTGAATGTAACACAGTCACAAGAAGGCTCTGGTGACAAGGAGCTTGCTTTTTCTTTCTGGATGTGGTATTCAAAGTGTTGAACAGCCCGTATGGCTCAACCACTGACCCTTCAGTTCAGCCGCTAAAGCAGGAGCAGCCATGAGAAACAGACCTCTCGGGCACTGAACTAGGAAGGAAGGGGTGATTTATTCCTCTGGGAACAAGGTGGCATGGCGTCCTAATAGCTGAGCTCATCTAACAAAGAGATGCCCTGCCTTTATATAGGCTTACAGCTCTCGAAACTACACATGGAAGGGGCTTGGGTTTACAGCTTTAGAAATTACATGTGAAAGGGTCTTGGTTCATGGAGTAGGCATGGGGTATGTGGCTTAGGTGGGAATTTGATCTTGCTCAGGTAAAAACAACTCCTTGGGATTACTCCATACAATGCTTTAGGAGAGATTGTCGTAATCACAGATGGTCTTATTTTTACTCTGGTCAACAGCGCCAAACAATCCCCCTTGTGACTGATTTCTAGCTTCTCCTTTTGAGATGCAATGCAGAAGGCTCAAGAGGATTAAGAGTCTCCTCCTCACTGCCAGCAGTCAGTCTGGGTGACCCTGCTGTGCCAGGTTCTACCCCTTCTGTTTCTGCATGATGTTGAGGTCTGGAGGGGCCAGGAGATCCAACATGCAGCCATGTACCCACCAGTGTATCTGAACCGATGTACACCAACATCACAGCCCTCATTCTCCTCACGGAGCACACGCAAAGCAAATGCAGCCACTGAATCAGAGAGAACAATGCCAGCTAGCAGCCTTCCGTCCTCACCATGAGCAGTGCCTTCCAGAACCACCCCAGGGTGGAGGGCTGAGAGGTGAGAGGGGAGCCAGAACCTCTCCTGTCCACACATACATTACCTCAGGGATTTTACTTAGGTATGGAGACATCTATTTAAGGTTTTCAGATGGTGAGAAAGAACAAGAATTTAACCCAGGCCTGAGATGAAGCAGGGACCACCTTTTAGGAGCCTGTGCCACTGCCCCCAACTCCACCACCAAGCATGGAAACAAAGGAAAATCTTGAGTTCCTTCCAGGGAAGTTCCAGATACTCAGCTCCCCTGAGAAGTAAATAAGTAGCTTGTTAAGCAGGAATGTACTAGCCCACAACAATAGCCAAGGAAATCAGAGTCCAGAGATGTTTGCTTTCCCTTTAGAAACGTCTTAACATCTCAACACATATCCTTGAGTTTGTCACTCAGAAACCTGGACCCCCACCTGGACCCGCACTAAATGGATTTGCTGGCCTGCAGACCTCACATAGGGGGAGCTGAGGGCTGCATTTGGACCACCTTCCTCTGTTTTAAATGTCTTCTGCAGGGACCTGGAAGCCACACCCATAAGTTAAATCTAATACTCTGCTCTGCTAACCCCAAATTTTTAGACAAGGCATCAACTCCTGAATCAACTACACATCAAAGAATCTCTGAATCCATCTGTGACTTGTAAGCCCCTGCTTCAAGATAATCTTGCCTTTTCGAGCCAAACCAATGTGTACCCTCCATGTACTGATTTACAGTTTTGACTAACTTCTGCTTTTCTGAAAATTTACCCCTGCCTTTAAAAATCCTTACCTGTGTGAAAGGAAACTGTCTTCTCCCCACACCCACCCACCCAAATCACTAAGCTAAAGGGAAAATTTAAGCTGGGAACTGCTTAGGGCTAACCTGCCCCCCATTCTATGTAAGTCCTCCTTCTGTTCCCTGAGATAAAGGCTGATATGATTGCCTCCTTTGGAAAGGCTAATCAGAAACTCAAAAGAATGCAAACATTTGTCTCTTACCTACCTGTGATCTGGAAGCCCCCTGCCCACTTCAAGTTGTCCCACCTTTCCAGACCTAACAAGTGTTCATTTTACATATGTCGACTGTGTCTCCCTAAAAAGTATAAAACCAAGCTGTCCTCTGACCACCTTGGGCACTTCTTCAGAACATCCTGAGGGTGGGTCATGGGTGAATGTCCTCAACCTTGGCAAAATGAACTTTCTAAATTAACTGACATCTGTCTCAAATTTTCAGGCTTCACACCTGCTAGCCATCAGGGAGATCAGGATTTGAGCTGAGCTGCCTGGCCCCATTTGCTTCCGTGAATAAACACCCTCCTTTCTGGTGCTGTAAGCTCGGTGTGGATATCTGACCTTAACGGCACTGGGCAAGCAGACCCCAATTCAGTTATATAATAGGCCTATTGACCCAAAAGCCAGTGCTCTCTTTACAGCTGGGGCTGTGTCCCTCACACACCTGCCCAAAGGGCCGGCAGCAACTGCACTCAAGTGAAGAGATCTAAGCACCTTTGAGCCCTGGAGCAGCAGGCAGGGGCTGCCACCAGTGTGGGGCCTTTCTGCAGGGGATCCCACAGCCTTTCTCCTTCCCCTTCCTCCTCCCTTGACAATGTGTTCAGGCCCCTCCCCCACCTTTGCACCAAGAAATTCCACTGGATGTTAACCAGCCTAGTGATTTAGTACAGCTTTAGGAAACAGCCTTTAAAGTACGGGCTCCAGAGTCTCCCCCAGAACAGAGATAAGAACAAGTTTAACAAGAACCCTCTATTTCCCAGGCCTGTTCTCTTTCTGTTGAGTAACTATTTGCAGTAAAAGTTAAGTAAGTTCCTGTTTTCCCACCGGTAATGTATACAGAAGGTCATAAGTCTTGCCTAAGTTGCAACAGCGGTCATGGCTTAATAAGCTGCCTTCGTCCTGCCTCTGCAAGCTCCTTTTCCACCTGGCAAGTTTCAGGCCATGAATGCCTAACACCCTTCGGTCACATGCAGAAAAGTCAAGCCCGGTCTATGTTCAGGGCTCAGCCTTGTGATGCTAATCCGCTGAGCTGGTGACCACCTTAATAAAATCCTCCTGTTTTGCCCATGGGTCTCTCCTGTCCCTCAATTCCCACAACACCCTAAGTAAATATGCTTTCTCCCATTTCTCTTCAAATGCATACCACTGCCAGTCTGTTTCTCTTTATCCCAATTTTGACAAAGACATATGTATAAAAAATACATTTTTAGGACAGGTGTGGTGGCTCATACCTGTAATCCCGGCACTTTGTGAGATGCAGGTAGGAGGACGGCTTGACAACATAGTGAGAATTTATCGCTACCAAAAAAAAAAAAAAAAAATAGCCAAATTGGAGGCTGAGTCGGGTGGGTAACCAGAGGTCAGGAGTTCCCAACCAGACTTGGGAGGCTGGGATGGTGAGGGCGGCAGGCTTGGCCGCAAAGGGAACCGCCTGGGCTGGGGCCGCCGTTCCTGCTGCCCTGAGGCTCAGCCTGTCTCCTCGTTTTTTTTCGCTGCAGATGAGCCGGCTGACCCCCGACCAGGAGCGGGCGCCGGCGTCCGAGCCCGTGTGGGAGCGGCCGTGGTCGGTGGAGGAGATCCGCAGGAGCAGCCAGAACTGGTCGCTGGCTGCCGACGCGGGCGTGAGAGGCGGGCCCCGGGGACACGAGGGCGGCAGGGGTGACGCTCGGCCTGCGCGCGGGAGGACGGAGCCGCTACTGCCCCTGCACCCGGGCCGTCGGGTTGCCTGCCCTCTTAGGAACACAGGCCCCTCATAGCCCTGGAGAATGCCAGCCTGGCCGCCCCTGGCCACCAGGGAGGGGGCGGACCCGGACCGCGGCCCAGACGCGGCGTTCCCTTCATTGGGGTTTCTGGCAGTGCCGCTTAGCCCCATCCAGAGGGGAGATCCGTTTCCGCCACGCTGAGGGATTGCTCGGGCACTAGGGAGGCGATTCTTGTTGAGACCCGGACTAAGTGGGATGGGAGACAAGCCAGTATGTGGATATCCTTTAGTGAGATTCTTCAAGTCTGGGGCCCAGGAAGCTCCTTCAGAGCTGTAATTCCAGAGTCCTAAATGAATAGGATTTTTGAATGAGAGTGGTGGCTGCTTATCTAACCCCTGCTCTGTGATCTTTGTAGACTGACAACCAAAAGGACTTTTTAAGAGACAGGGTTTTGCCCTGTCGCCCAGGCTGGGGTGCAGGTGGTTCGATCTTAGCTCACTGCATTCTCCGGGGCTCAGGTGATCCTCCTACCTCAGCCACCTGAGTAGCTGGGACTATAGGCGGGCTCCACCGCACCTGGCTGATTTAATTTTAGTAAAGATGGGGGCCTTGCTATGTTGTCCAGACTGGTCTCCAGCTCCTGGCCTCTAGCGATCACTCCGCCTCAGCCTCCCAAAGTGCTGGGATTACAAGGCAAGCCACCATACCGTTAGCTCACTGCCACCCTTTTGATGAGCTTTGTTAGTGATTCTCAATGTCCCTTGGTTTTAGTAGTTGTCAAAAGGAGCATTCTGACTGACGCCATCCGCCTGACAGTCTCACGAGATCTCCGCTCGGGTCAGCCAGAAGCCCTTGACTGCCCCATAGAAGGCGCAGAGCGCAGGCGTACACTCCCTCCCACCCTTGCACAGTGTCCTTTCGCCCTCCGTGAATAAATCAAATTAAGTGAAGCAAACATTTTTTTTTTCTTTGAAGGCAAATTCTGTGCTGAGGACCATCCCAAGTGATTCCAATGTCCTCACGAAGTAGATACTATTTAGCTTGAATATTTAGATACAAAAGCAAATATCATAAGACACAAAAGGCCAGATGATGTATGATTCCACGTTTGTCACATTTTTTTCCCTAAAGATTGAGTAAATATGCCGGCCTCAGGGGATCACGCCTGTAATCCCAGCATCTTGGGAGGCCGAGGCATGTGGGTCACGAGGTCAGGAGATCTAGACCATCCTGGTTAACTCGGTGAAATCCGACTCTACTAAAAATACAAAAAATTAGCTGGGGTGGTGTCACACACCTGTAGTCCCAGCTACTCAGGAGGCTGAGGCAGGGGAATAGCTTGAACCTGGGAGGTGGAGGTTGCAGTGAGTTGAGATCACGCCACTACACTCCAGCCTGGGCGACAGAGCCAGACTCCATCTCAAAAAAAAAAAATAGTCGAGTAAATTAATAGTCAGAGCCCAGATGCTTTTTTCTTTCTGTTCCATTTTCTTTGAGACAGGGTCTGTCCCTGTTGCCCAGGCTGGAGTGCAGTGGTGCAATTTCAGTTCACAGCAACCTCTGCCTCGTGGGTTCAAGTGATTCTCCTGCCTCAACCTGCTGAGTAGCTGGGATTACATACAGACGTGCGCCACGATGCCCGGTTATAACATTTTTTGTGGAAACAGGTCCTGCTGTTTTGCCCAGACTGCTCTCAAACTGGGCACAAGCAATCCTCTCACCTCACATGTGATTACAAACATGAGTCACCATGTCCAGCCTACAGCCCAGATTATAACCCACATTATTTACTTGTGACCAGATGTTAAAATAGCACTTCTTTCTGTCTTGGTTTCGACAGAGGTCCTCCATACTCAGCCGGCAACGGCTTCCCGACCTTCCCCAGCAAAGGAGAAGATCATAGCAGGGTTTTATTTATCCCACCCAAGAGTGACTCCTACAAGGGGCAAGGCAACCTCACTACAAAACAGGAGAGAAGATTCTGATGCAGAAGCTAAGATAATAATCATAGGCTGTGAGTGGAAGGGGAGCTGTGGAGAGAGAGGCCCACAGAAGTCCCAGAGGAAGTCAGCCAAGAACGTAACCTCAGGCAGGAGGAGCCCTTAACTCTCCTGTACCCCATTCCCTCTAAATTCAGATGCACCCCTGGAATGAGACTCCATATAACTCAAAAAAGTGTAACTCAGACCACCTTTTTAAGTTATCTGAAGGTGATCAGGAAAGCTAAGGGACCTGTCTAGATTGCTCAACTGGCCCACATAGCATGTTTAAACAGAAGGGGGACAAAGGAAAATAAAGCTGTTTATCAGTTGCCCACTGATTGTTCAACAGATGACTGTTTGCCCATTTCTGATCTGTCACGTACACACAGCTGACTCCAAGCCCTAGGAGAGCAGGGTTCTCTCCTGAGACCTCTCTGGTTCACTGCTTTATCCCCAGGTCCAGAGCACTGGCCCAGGTGCTCCGTACAGACCTGTTGAGTGAACAAATGTTCTCTAACGCAGGAACGGTCAAAAGAGAAGCGATGTTGTCATTGTTTTAAGCCATTAAGTTTTGGGTGCTCTGCGTATAGCAAGAGATAACTGATACTGAGGCCTTGCTCCCAGGCCACTCTGCATCAGCAAGGCAGAGCCCCTGGCCTTGAATTCCCCTCAGGCTTCATGTGGCCCTTGGGGGCACTTGTTCAGGCTGTCTTGTTCTAACTTGCTTTCACCTCAAACAAACACAGAGGAACGTGGGGGACACATCATAGAAGACACTTCCTGATGAAGAGGAAGGAGGGATAAACAGGAACACCTTAAAGAAAAGAAGGGATCTAATTTCAGCTTGAAGACACACATTTTTTCTATTGTTTACCAGCCAGCAGGACATAGGCAGCAGAGTGCAGACATCACAAACAGCAAGAGTGGCAGTGGTCCCCCAGTAAGGGACGCACAGTGACCTATTACAGAGTTTAGGAAAAATAGAACTTTTATTCATGTGTATTTTGTTATTTGTTTTGTTTGGGGTTGGATTTTTTTTTCTTTTCTTTCTTTTTTTTTTTGAAACGTTATCTTACTCTGTCACCCAGGCTGGAGTGCAATGGTGTGATCTTAACTTATTGCAAGCTCCGCCTCCTGTGTTCAAGTGATTCTTCTGCCTCAGCCCCCAGAGTAGCTGGGACTGCAGGTACCTGCCACCATGCCTGGCTAATTATGTATTTTTAGTGAAGACAGGGTTTCACCATGTTGGCCAGGCTGGTCTCAAAGTCCTGACTTCAAGTGATCCGCCCACCTCAGCCTTCCAGAGTACTGGGATTGTAGGCATGAGCCACTGTGCTCAGCCATTCATATGTATTTTTGTCTCCCTTTTTAAATGTTTTGTATGCTTTATAATGTGTATTAAAGTAATGCATACATAAGTTATAAATTAAAAGTACACACATATTCAAATGTTTGCTCAAAAATCTTTTACTGATAGGCAGGGCTACACCATCATAGACTATTAGAGCCAGAGGAGAAGAGGTCTGGCCTGGGAGCTCTGTGCCTACTAGAAGCACATTACAATATCCATGCACTGACATCACAGGTCTTATGTGGGTTCTTCTTCTCCACCACAGTTAACTTGCACTCCTCCTTGTTGAAGATTTTCTGGCACTTGTGTATGTCATAACCCACAGGCGTAGCAACACTGTCATTGAGACAAAACTGGAGCCTGTTAGAGGAGAAAGGACCCCCCAGGACCCCCTCCCAGTGCCAGTTCTGTTCAGGAAGCCACCCATGCTCCAGCTGGTCGGGATGCCTTCACCAACTTAAGGGCACCCCTTGGCTGGCAGCCCCAGAATGTGGTCTCCAGGAACATGGACCAGTCTGTACCATAGAGTCACACAGCCCACCCCTGCATTCCATCCTGCAGGCACAGAATTTCAGTGGTAGGTGCTGACAGGCAGGGGCAAGTCTGGCTAATCTGGAGCTAGGCAGCTTGTTCCAAACTGGCTCCGCCCACTCTCCCTGTTCAGGAAGTGGCCAGCATATTGTTGCTAGAATGTGGAAAGGGAACAGTTGTCCCAGCCCTGGCTCGGAGGCCTGTTGGCAAAGGAGCTCTCTCAACTAAACAGAGCAAAGAGTAACTCCAGGTCACCGTCAAGGAGCCCCTGGAGAAGCTGATAAAAATCACAGACCACGTCTAATTGAGCTGCAGTACATACAAATATTTGAAGAGTTCCAATGAGATGAGATGAGATGATACTACTGCTAGAATATTTATTTATGTGATCTCAGCTCACTGCAGCCTCCATATCGCAGGCTTAAGCGATTCTCCTGCAGCCTCTTGAGTAGCTGGGATTACAGGCGCATGTTACTACACCCGGATAATTTTTATATTTTTAGTAGAGATGGGGGTTTCACCATGTTACCAAAGCTAGTCTTGAACTCCTGAACTCAAATGATCCACCCCCGCCTTGGCCTCTCAAAGTGCTGGTATTACAGGCGTGAGCCACCATGCCCAGCCCAATGCTAGATCATTAAGTGGAACAATCAGCCCACAGAATTGTGATAAAAATTTGGTAGCCACTGTGTGCAAGAAAAGAAATGTAGAAAAGAGACATAAAGAAATTATCTTAGAAGCCTAGGCATGGTGGCACATACATATAATCCCAGCTACTCAGGAGGCTGAGGTGAGAGGACAGCTTGAGCCCAGGGGTTTGAGACCAGCCCGGGCAACATAGTGAGACCCTGTCTCAATTCTTTAATACAAATAAATAAATATGATAGAATGTTAACAGTTATTACCTTTAAGCAGTCAGAATTATTAGTAGGTTTTTCTTTTTTCTCCTATACTCTCCAATGGTTCCATAATTCATATGTTTTACTTAGAAAATTGGGGGAAATGTCATTTAAAACCTTCCATGTTTAAAGGCGATTGTTGGCTGGTAGGAATGTAAAATGGTGCAGCTGTGGAAAACAGCTTGGCAGCTCCTTAATAAGTTCAACAAAAAATTACCATATGACCCAGCAAGCTACTCCTAGGTATATATCCCAAAAGAATTGAAAGCAGAGACCAAACATTATATGCCAATGTCTGTATACTGACAGTGTTCAGAACAACATTACTTACTTTAGCCAACAGGTGGAAGCAACTCAAGTGTTCATCAACAAATAAATGGATACGCAAAATGTGGTCTAGCCACACCATGGAATATTAATCCGGCAGAAACAGGAAGGAAGTACTGATACATGCTACGACATAAATGAACCTTGACAACATGCTAAGTGAAATAAGCCAGACACAAAAAGACAAACACGGTGTGATTCTATTTATATGAAATACCTAGACTAGGCAAATTCATAGAGATAGAAAGTAAATTTGAGGTTACCAGGGGTTTTGTGGGAGGGGGAACTGAGGTATTGTTTACTGGATATAGTTTCAGGTTGGAAATAGTGTTTATGGTTGCATAATACTGTGAATGTATTTAATGCCCCTGAATTATATGTTTTAAAATGGTTAAAGTGGCACATTCTATGTAATATACATTTTACCACAATTTTTAAAAGTTAAAAATATAGTGGTGTTTTTTGAAGAGATACATTTCTTTCTTTCTTTTTTTTTTTTTTTATTTTGGATACAGAGTTTCACTCTTGCTGCCCAGGCTGAAGTGCAATGGTGTGATCTGGGCTCACTGCAGACTCCACTTCCCGGGTTCAAGTGATTCTCCTGCCTCAACCTCCTGAGTAGCTGGGATTATAGGCATGTGCCACCATGCCTGGCTAATTTTGTATTTTTGATGGAAATGGGGTTTCTCCATGTTGGTCAGGCAGGTCTGGAATCCTGCCCTCAGGTCATCCACCTGCCTCAGCCTCCCAAAGTGCTGGGATTACAGGTGTGAGCCACTGGGCCTGGCCAAAGAGATACAATTCTTTTGGTTCGTGGTAGGAAGTGAAATGGTGAATCTCCGCTGCCTGTGTGCAAGTACAGGTTGGGAAGGCAAAGGGCATATTACTGGATGCTTATTTCAATTCAAACCAGACTTAGCTCTGTAGGTGAAGCAGCAGAGAGAGAGTGGCAGGAGAAACTGTCAGCATCAGGTGTTCAGCTATCCAGAGCCAGTGGTTGGATGGCCTTGGCCTTTTGTCTCCCACTCCCTTTTCCTCACCCAAGTCAGGGAGCCAACCCTGGCCTGGGCCCGGGCAGCGTGGAGACCAGGATGTCTCCCATGCCCTTCTGGGGAGCCTCTGCCTGGGTCCCCAGCCTCAGGCTCCACTGCTACCAAGCATCTTGAGATCTGGGCAG